TCACTCAACCCACATACGCACGCTTCAAACGTGACAAATCTTACTCGAATTTTGAATACGCTTCAATTTGGTGTTTAAGTCCAATTATAATTTGCATGGTCAAGGATTGCCGAATACAAAATTGACATAACACTTCAACTTTTCATCTCTGTTTTAATATTGTAGCTGTGATCAGTTAGTTCCGACTGACGCACCTGATAAATCATAAGGCAAGGGGTTAAGAAATAAGTCTATTTGCGTCGCAGCGTCAGCAATATTAAGTGACGATTAAACGATGCGAATCATTAGATTCCCAACGACTGATAAGTGGACTGTATCTAAGAAATGAATTTCACTTCGAACGATCAGACTTGTTACTTGATACTTGAAACTTGATACTTGAAACTTGATACTTGAAACTTGATACTTGAAACTTGAAACTTGAAACTTGATACATGAAACCTGATACCTAATATCTGAAACTTGATAACTGAAACCTGATACCTTATACCTGAAACTTGATACTTGATACCTTATACCTGAAACTTGATACCTGATACCTAAAACTTGAAAGCTGATACCTGATCCCTGAAACGTGAAATCTAATATCCGCAATCTGATATATGTAATTTGATATCTGAAACTCGTTACCTGAAACTTGATACTTGAAACTTGATACTTGAAACCCGGAACCTGATACTTGGAACTTGATACGTACTTTTATTTTGCAACAACAGGAAATCATTAAAGTATCGCTGGAAACTTGTACAAAGGTCGAATCCTCTCGCTGTAAAACGTATTTTGAGATTCAACAAATGTGAGACAATTTTGTTTATTAAATTTTTTATTGTTCTACGTTAAACGTTCGATCAGACCTTTAATTAATATCCAGTGAACTAGTTTTGCAATTACTGAGTACAAGTTAGACACGATTCGACAGAGTTCCTTTAGAATATTGATTTCATACTGGATTCGAATGTAATTGCTTTTTCCTCGAGGCAGTTTACCGAAGAACGTTCAAAAGTTCTGGCTTCGATACTGTGACTTCGGAAACTTAGTTGTATGACACTCTTTTTACAGACAAATATTTCGCCAAGTTTTTATCGTGCGATACCGAATTAATTTCATATTCCTTTCGGGGATATGGAAATCTGGGAATTTCGATAGTTCGCGGTTGCAGAGGCAAAAATTGAGAAATTTTGAAAATTTTAAAATTTGAAAGCTGTAATTTAGAAAGTTAAGAAGGTGGGGCTTTGGAAAAGTGGAAATTTGGAAAATTAGGAAAATGGGAAATTGGTAGTTCAGAAAATAGGGAATTGGGAAATTAGAAAATCAGAAAAATGAAAAATGTGGAAAATCAGAAATCTAGAAAACAGATAATTTAAAAAACTAGAAAACTACAGATCCAGTGAGAAAGTGGAAAATATCAGACTGGAAATTACATTCTAAAATCTACAACCACAATCGACCTAACATTTACGAGGACTTGCAAACTATATCAATATCCGTTCCCCGAAAATCTCGATCGCGAGCAAACCGGAATGGAGATAAATCGAAGTGACAAAATGGAGTCGCGGAGTGTCGGAACGTTGCCAAAAATTGAACTGGCACTGAAACTCCGTCGAAATGTACGAAGCCAGTCTTTTTCTAATTCGAGTTTCCATCGTGCGATATCGTTGAACGAAAAATGATTCGAAGCAACGGTTACTTTACGGGTTTCTCGTATGTTTCGAAGACAGCAATCGTAAAGAACACTGACGAGTTATGGACGGTATCGATATGAAAATTGTTCGAGTTTGCAGCGGAATTCCGTGAAAATTGAACGGCTGGTCTAGAACCACGGGAGAAGCGTGTGTGTACAGGGGGTTGAATATATGGACGGGGGTTAATAAGGCAACCGCAGAGAAATGTGTATCGAGCACTATAATCTCGCTGTAGATACGGACGTTGATGATCAGACACACTCTGTGGATAGCGATACCGATCTAAACGAGATACGCTGCTCGAATTACCGATGTCAATTGGAAATGCGTTTTAGGAAACGAATTTTGTATGAAATTCCAAATTAGGTACTCTAGTGGAGATTTAATGCAATTTGAAGTGAGTAGTTCTTAATTGAAATGGATGTGGTGTAACATATGTGATGTTTGTAACATATGTACATATGATAGTGACACGTTTAAGGGATGCTTTGGGGTTCTCTGTCATTAACAATCACTATTATCTTTGTGATGTATGATTTTGTAGTAGTGAAATATCACACATGTTTTACTGTTACATATGTGTACGTATGTGTGATATATCACTATTATCATATGTGTAACACATTGTGTTTTTTAATAAAATTTATATTGCAGGTCGTATGTGATATTAGTATACATCATATGTGTAACACAATACATTTTTTAATAAAATTTATATAGTGTGTATGACATTACTATACGTCACACATGTAACACAATACATTTTCTAATAAAATTTATATTGTGCATATGACACTATTGTACATCACATATGTAACACAATACATTTTCTAATAAAATTTATATTGTGCATATGACACTATTATACATCACATATGTAACACAATACATTTTTTAACAAAATTTATATAGTGTGTATGACACTATCATACATCACATATGTAACACAATATATTTTTAAATAAAATTTATATAGTGTGTATGACACTATTATACGTCACATATGTAACACAATACATTTTTTAACAAAATTTATGTAGTGTGTATGACACTACTATACATCACATATGTAACACAATATATTTTTAAATAAAATTTATATAGTGTGTATGACACTATTATACGTCACATATGTAACACAATATATTTTTAAATAAAATTTATATAGTGTGTATGACACTACTATACGTCACATATGTAACAATACATTATTTAACAAAATTTATACAGTGCATATGACACAATTATACATCACATATGTAACAATAAATTTTTAAATAATATTTACACTATATCTACATATGAAAAAATCATTCTAAAAATAACTCGTCAATACAAAAACCAGAAGACTAAAGACTAATTCAGAAACTGTTACATTGAATGAACGTAAATGAAGTGCCTGTTAAACAGACATTCGTTAAATGAACGCTAATAAAAAAGAAGTACATTGTTCCAGGATCCACAAGCCAGTTACGATGTTAATAATCACGATGAAGATCCCATGCCGAGGTACGACGTGTTGGACAGTAATCGACATGGCACCAGGTGTGCAGGCGAAGTGGCTGCAACTGCTAACAATTCCATTTGCGCTGTGGGGGTCGCATTTGGCGCCGGTGTTGGTGGTAAGTCTATTGAAAAATTTAACCGGAAAAATTCTCTATCAGAGTCTCTGTTAAACGGTTAACTGCAAAATAACTAGACTTGTCGGATACATTCTATCGGTTTATTCTTTCAAATTTTGACATTGGAATCAAAATTTGTTTCAACATTTCGCCACGTCACATATATCTATCACATACATTTATTACATATATCTATCAAACTTATGAGTTTATTTAGTTGAGAATACTTGTATTGACTGGTTGAAACTGTGAATGATGAATGTAACAAAGTTAAGTTGTTAAATTATTAATAGTTATGGAAACTGTGTTATTTGTGATTTGATTAAACTAAATTGGTAAAAGTCAGTGGCAAAAATAAAGTTTAATTTATTTTGTGTTGTATAGGAGTGAGAATGTTGGATGGCGATGTAACAGATGCTGTTGAGGCGAGATCGTTGAGTCTCAATCCGCAGCACATCGATATTTATAGTGCCTCCTGGGGACCAGATGATGATGGGAAAACCGTCGATGGTCCTGGTGAACTTGCAACTAGAGCATTCATCGAAGGAATCACAAAGGTAAGTGGCAAATCCACTGTTCAGAAATATATGAATCTTGGAATATAGAAAATTTGAAATGTTTCTTAGATTATTTGGGAGATTGAAAATTGGAAAATTAGGAAATTGAGAAATTCGCAAACTGGTAAATTGGCAAATTGGCAAATTGGTAAATTTAGAAATTGGGAAACTGGTAAATTAGCAAATTGGTAAATTGGTAAATTCATAAATTGGTAAATTGGTAAATTGGCAAACTGGTAAATTGGCAAATTGGTAAATTGGTAAATTGGTAAATTGGTAAATTGGTAAATTGGTAAATTGGTAAATTGGTAAATTGGTAAATTGGAAAATTGGGAAATGGGAAATTTAGGAAATGGGGAATTTGGGATATGGGAAATTTGGGAAATGGGAAATTTGGGGAATGGGAAATTTGGGAAATGGGAAATTTGGAAAATGGGGAAGTTTAGAAATTAGGAAATTTGCAAAATGTGGAAATTGGGAAATTTGGGAAATAGGAAATGGGAAATTTGGGAAATGGGGAAATTGGAAAATGAGAACCTTGGAAAATTGGGAAATTGGAAAATTAGTAATTTGGGAAATTGTGGAATTGGGAAATTGGGAAATTTAGGAAATGGGATATTTGGGAAATGGGAAATTTAGGAAATGGGAAATTTGGGAAATGGGAAATTTGGAAAATGGGGAAGTTTAG